CAGGGCCGGTTATGGTCAAAAAGATGACTGTGTATACTACTACATACATGCCCATTTGGCCATTTCGTCATCGACGACATTTACGTCCCACCCTCCTACTTTAAGCAACTTCCTACGTTTTTTTCTTCCTCCTCTTCTACTTTTATTTTTGAATTTAATTTGTCTATAACAACAACATGGGATTCGAATTAATTTTTAAATAAGAAAATCCGTTTTTTTTTTGTAACCAAGAAGTTATGTACTTGAACCCTTTTTTTTTAAGATCGTAAACCGAAACATATGTTTAATTAGACTTGTAACATTATTGATTTTCGAATTCCAAATGTTTCCTTTCTTTTAAATGGTCAGATGATACATCGATAGAATTACTATTTTTTTAAAACTGATTTAAACGAAGAAATGTGAGGGATTACTTACTGAAATAAGCATTACAGTAAGTGATTAAAAACATTACGTAGAGCATATCTAAGGTTCAAACTTTGATCGACAATGCAGACCATAAACTTAAATTTATGTTATTTAAAAGGTTTATCGATCATCCATTAATTATAGTTAACTGTGCAGTACGAATTGAATTATCCATGAGTGGATAAGTTGATTCTTTTGTGATAGTAGCCAATATACGGTTAGAGCAAGTCCAACCGGACTGCATCCCACCAAATTTGGTGTAATAATGCTTCTGACCGGACGGCATAATCAACTGTAAATTATTTTTTGAGTGTTTTGTGATGGTGTGATACTGTTCACAAAACACTAAAAAAATCTATTATTTTAATTGTATTTTTAAGTTAGTAAAACAATTAAATCATAGATTACAAACTAAAAAAATATATATCAATAATAATTTTGTATTTACTATTTATTTGTTGTTTCTCTTTTAATTCTATAATAATATTTATAACTATAATTTTAATTTCATTAAATATCTAGATTAATACGTAAATTTATTAAAATTAAAAATACATATTAAAGTTTAATTAAAACACTGAAAATAAAAATTACAAAATAAAATCAAACAAAAAAAACTAAAAACAACAAGATAATTTTAAAAACATAGCAAAAATTTAAACAATTATGATGGTCGATTTCATAAATGTTTTCAAATACTATAATTAGTATTTTTCAATTTATT